GCATGTTGTGTTTATGGGGATGATAGTGTATCTGAGTAGAAATATCCTTTGGTAACTAGGAAGAGGGGCTTGGGGAAAGGTTAGGGCTGGAAATAAAGATTTGGGTATCATCTGTATGGAGACGACAGGATTACTTAGATGAGTGAAAGAGAACAAACAAAATTTGGACTGGAAGGAAAAGGTAAAAGAATTAATAAAAGAAACAGAAAGGGCCAAAGAGGTATTAAAAATCCAATAAGTACAATAGCATAGGATATAAAGATAGGATTGGGTGGCTCAGTCGGTTAAGCGTCTGCCTTCAGCTCAGGTCATGATCCCAGGGTCCTGGGATCGAGCCCCACATCAAGCTCCTTGCTCAGCGGGGAACCTGCTTCTCCCTTTGCCTGCCACTCCCCCTGCTTGTGCGCTCTCTCACTATCTCTCTGTGTCAAATAAATAAATGAAATCTTTAAAAAAAAAAGATAGTCAACAGCATCAAATGCACGGAGGGCAGATAGGATGAGGACTATGAAAAGAATATTGGGTAGTGGTCCCTGAATACTCCTGGTGATCGGACAAGAAAAGGTGTTGGTGAACAAGTCAAGTTTCAGAGGCTCAGGCAGTCGTGGCAGATTGGAAATGGCTAAATAGGATAGGAACAAAAGGGTAAGAATATCAAGAAAACTTTTTCTTTGAATGAAAACTTTATTATTATTATTATTATTATTAATTTCGATGTGGAGCTCAATCCCGGGATTCCGGGATCATGACCTGAGCTGAAGGCAGATGCTTAACTGACTGAGGCGCCCCCCCAAGTTTTTTTTATTATTGACAATAACACAGAAGATATTGATAGAGGGGGAGATTTAAGATGCATCAGAGGGAGAGAGTCTGTTGCCTCCTGTCAAGTTTCTTTGCCTCTGGTCTCATTTGTATCCTCCCATTCCCTGTACCGATCCTGATTATGTCAGCCCCCCACTGAAAGACCTCTCTGGGTGCCTCATGGCCAGTGGAAATCCAATATCCTTAGCATAGCAGACAAGATGCCTTGCACTCTGGTTCTAACCTTCTTTTCCCATTTTGTCCTTCGCCATTCAGGGCACAGGAGATTTTAGATTCTTTCCAGGTTGGGTCTTTGTACACATTGCTCTCTCTGGAAGACCCTTCTTTCCACCTTCCACATGGAAAATGCTGACTTGTCCTTCAGCAGCTGGCTCGAATGTCCCCTGGCTTTTGAATTCTTTCCTGACTCCCCAGGCCCAGTTCAGGTCTCCTTCTTTGGTACTTCAACTGTAGGCTGTACACTCATTTTTGTCTTGGTATCTTGCATTGCAAATCATCAATTTCTTTAGCTGTGTTCTCCATTGGATTGTATGATCTTTGAAAACAGGGATTTTTTACTGTTGTAATTCCCATGACTGGGACAAAACAAACTATTGCTAAAAGCATCAGGAATGAATGAGTGGGTATTAATGTAAGGAGATGTATCTTGAGGTATAGAGGATGGAAGTGAAGAAGCATCTTAGTGCTAAGTGAAATAAGCCAGACACAGAAATACAAATACTGCATTGATCTCACTCATGTGTGGAATCTAAAAAGTCAAACTCACAGAACCAGAATGTTGAATGGTGGTTGCCCAGGACTAGGGTATGGGGGAAATGGGGTGAAACTGGTTAAAGGGTACAAGCTTTCAGTTATAAGATGAAAGAGTTCTGAGAATCGAACGTATAGTATGGTCATTGAAGGTAATGCCATATTTTATACTTAAATGTTCTTAAGTAGATCTTAAATGTTCTCACCACACACACACACACACACACACACACACACACACAAATGGTAACCATGAGGTGAAGGATGTGTAAATTAATTTGATTGTGGTAATCATTTCATGATGTATATGTATATTAAATCACTGCATTGCACCACACTCTAAAAAAACATGTTATACAAAATAAATACATATAATTTTTATTGGTCAGTCATTCCTCAAAAAAGTTTGGAGGGAAAAAGCTTTATGAACTTGAGCAAGTTAATTTCTCCAAACCTGAGTTTCCTGTTGGTCATATGAGAATAATACTTCTCTTACAGTGTGGTTTTGGGGAGAAAAGCTACAAAGTATACTAACCATCATTTAGTAATCATTAATATTAGAATTATTTCCAACTCCATCTTCATGGCCTGTATATCTTGGTTTCTCTCTTATCTTGGATTTGGCTGCAACTTTAATCCGTTCTCTAAAGAGAAGTGTTTTGTTTGTTCTTTAAGTAAAATTTTGATGCTAAGAAATTTAAACATACCAATGTTTCATCTACCTAAATGATTCAATCTACAGCAAGCGAATTCAGCAAAAATCTAAAATTTAATATATGGGTTGATTTGGCAAGTTCACAATGAAATCTGACTTGTCTTAGGAGTTTCCAAGTAACTTCCCAGAGGAGGCTGAAGCTTTGAGGCTCCCTACACCGCATCGAAGGACACCCTTCCTGTCTTATCTTCAGTACTGTTTTGCCCTAAGTGATTTAGAACAGCTATTTCCATTTTTTTTTAGCAGCATTTTTGTGGTTAATAAAAACATGTGCTTACAGTTTTTTTGCATAGATAAAGGAAAGGATTCCACATCAGATTTAGATCAAGAGATAGATTTTCAGAAGAAAATGAGGGATGTGTCCTCCGGGAGCAGCAGAATGCCGCGATGTTCTGTCTCTGGCTGCTTGAGTCGAAGGCATTTATGAACACTTCCACGCCCACGCCCACGCACATCCACAAACAGTGGTCACCACTGCAGCTCCAGACACTGTCTTGCTCCCCAGTCTCCTTTCCAAAGTGCATCCGTTGTTTTCCATGACATGAAATAAATCCCTCTCTTTTGCCCAGTGGTGAAAAGCTTATATAAATACTAAAACTTCAACTATTCCCCTGAGTTTTCTGTTGGCAAGCCTGCAGCAATGGGTTTGTTTGGATCTTGACGTGCCTTTTCTGTGCACCTCTTTGAGGCCACTTGGGTGAGTCCGGTGGTGATAAATTCACATGTCTTGAAAATTTATCAGGTTAACCACGATAACACTCTGCTTATGGAAACTTAAATGATTGACACTGGATTGAAAAGGCTCCAGGTTCAAAGTATCTCTTTTATTCTTTCAGCATATATCATTCTGGTGATATATATGTCTTAGGAAGTCTTGGCCAGGAGATTATTTTAATAGTCATTGAAAAGAAAATAAGGTGTGAAGAATCGATTAATGTAAGACATTTCATCTTGCATGGTGGTGTTCCCATGAAAGAATGCTTTTCAGTATGTAGAAGTGAAGTATTTGATTGTGTACTAAGTAGGGATAGTTAACATTACTGGCTATAATTAAAAATGGACAATGAAAAATCTTTATTCATCAAAATAGTGAGATTAGGAAAGTGCCCTCAAAGTATTGATATTGTTTTTACCCTTGTTTTAAACAGTGGAAGAAGTAGTGCATTCTCAAATATAATTTCCCATGGAATCTGCAAACCTAAGATTAATTCTAGCTACGTCTAAGATTGCTGAGTAGAAGTCCATGAACTCTATTTCTACTGTATTTCCACTTGCCCTCCCATAGGAGTGAAGCCTTCTGCTTGCTGTCAATAATCTATTTTACCTAATGCTTTTTTAAAAAAAATCTCTTTTCACCTAGATTATTACTTAGCTAGAAATAGCTTGCTATTTTAACAATTAGTAATTCTAAATTCTTCATATATTACAAATTATGACTGTTGAGTTGTCTTTGAGGATCCAAGATTTTATTTCTGTTTCACTGTCTTAACAAGAAGAAATATAAAATGGTGAAGAAGAAATATAAAATGGTGAATCTCGGGGTGCCTGGGTGGCTCAGTCATTGGGTGTCTGCCTTTGGCTCAGGTCATGATCCCAGTTTCCTGGGATCGAGCCCCGCATCAGGTTGCCTGCTCCATGGGAAGCCTGCTTCTCCCTTTCCCACTCCTCCTGCTTGTGTTCCCTCTGTCAAATAAATAAATAAAATCTTAAAAAAACAAACAAACAGCGAATCTCATTAATGAATTAGGTCCCCTTTCCTTGAGACATAATAGAGAAAATAAAGGCAATCAAATAAGCTTTTATGTCTGTGAAGTCTAATTGTAAATTATAGAGAAAACAAAACAGAGGTAAAGGACTTGGCTGGATTTGAGTGTTGCTGGCTAAACTGATATATCAGTCTTCAGATGCCTGGATTTGTTCTGATTAGTAAGTCATAGTGCAAGTAAGTAGCTAAAGTTGTGTTTAGGCCAAAGGTTGTGGCTGTTAATTGTGGTGTACTTTAAATATAATGGAGGTAGAAGATACAGCTTTCTTTTTTTTAAATTAAAGATTCTTATCTGTTGAGAGAAGGAGAGCACAGAGGGAGAATGAGAAGGAGAAGCAGACTCCTTCCTGAGCAGAGAGCCCAACGTGGGGCTCGATCCCAGGACCCTGAGATCATGACCCGAGCCAAAATCAAGAGTAGGCCACTTAACCGACTGAGCCACCCATGCACCCCGAACATATAGCTTTCTTTTAAAACAACTACATTTGTTTATTTTTTTGTTTGGAGGAATAATTTAGTGTATCAATCTACCTTAAACTGATATACTATGCCCGAGACCTAAAAAATACTTTGCACAATGACATTATGCTCAAAATTGCAATTATATTGTTATATTTCTAAGGTGCTCAATATAACAACAATTGAAGCTCAGCTAAAACCACTTCCCACACAATCTGTCTTCTCCACGGGACTCCCTGTCAAAAAGCACACAGACACAGAAATAGGAGGGATTATATGTCTAATGGTGGACCTTCAAACAATGGGAGCTGGGTGGCTATTCTTACCAGTCCTGGACAAGTCAAGTTGTTTGAGTTAGGCAACATTCTCAAAACTAGGAGCAAAGAAAGCCTAAGAAACATATTTTTGTCATTATTGGTTGCTTCAAAAGAGGGCCATATGAGAAAAAACTGTTGTGTAAAAATGCATCTTTTTTGGGTCTGTTCCTAGGTTTGAAAAAGAAATGACCAGCACGTGGTTATACCTCTTTGAAGGCAGCGGGGTTGCGTATGGCCCAATCAACGACATGAAGAATGTATTTGCAGAACCCCAGGTTTGGTTTTTGAAGTTTTTAGTACATGGCAGTTAAAAATCGCAAGAAATTGCCTCTCTTTATCCAGATTGATTCACGTAAATACACGCGAGCCATTGGTCTTGAGCTTAAGTCACATAACATGATTTTTGATGGTTACGTTAGACTGTGGGTCTGAAGTAAAAAGAATCAATTTAGAACTGGCTGTCTACAATCATACTTTTACGTCCATCAGATCTAACATATTCCTGCAGCAGTCTCTACATAAAGTTTGCAAGGTCAGGACATTTGTTTCTCCTGAAAAATGGGAAATGTAGATAATTGAAAGGTTAGGCTCAGGCCCTCAGAGATCATTCTCTGTAGAAGGAAGTATGACAACTTTTATAGTTGCAGCCCACATCTCACCAGACAGCTCTCTTAAAGTGTACAAAGCAAGTCATGGTTAATTTTGCAAATGAGAGGCTTTTATATGTTTTGATTAGTAAAGTGCATTATTTGTGAAGAATCAATTGTACTTGAATAGAGGTTTGTACTGAAAAATTCTTATAAGCTTCATTTTGGGCCCCAGGAGTCAGGATCACCTGAAAAAATGACTTTTTTTCTATAACGTTGTTCGAATTATTATTTTTAGAGGCTATCAAAATAATTTTTGATTTATTACTTTAATCAGTATCACTGCAAACAATTTACTGCTTCTCAGATTCGCATATTAATCCCAAAAGGTAGAGGAACGCCATTTTCCTATGAAGCTTTCACTATGATTATTCACATATCTTATCAGCTTCCAACACTTCAAAATTATAGGTCTAAAAATATTCTTTATATTATAACTGGTTTTTCTTTGAAATGAATTATTGAAACTGAAATATGATTTTCTAGGGGAGGAGAACTTTGCTGAAAACTAACCTAACTCTAACTTTGGTACCTTTTACATGAGTATCTGCTTCAAGGAGAATTGACATGTATTTAATTCAGTGTTCATGATATTTACTGGAGAAAAAAAGTGAGTGGATTCAGGAATTCTGCTGTGTGTTATCTTCCTGCCAACATCGTGAATATGCCAAGGCTTTGTCCATAATAAAACAATGGCCGATAAGTATTTGAGATTAAGGGCCCCGCTGGATATGTACTGGGTTTATATGACAGGGTCCTCGCTGCATCGGTGGTTTAATGTCTGGTGATTAATAGTTCCATGCCACGAGGCAGCAGTGAGCACACTCTGAAATGTACTAGACTCGGAGGACCAGTGTTCTCACTCATAACTTTGAATGAGGCCAAGCTTTGGCTTTAAGTTGTGGGGGAATGGGTGGGTTTTACCATCATTTTCCTTCTTAAAAATGGTACCAAGCTGTGTAGGACTTGGCGTTTAACTCGATTTGAGGGCACGTTTCTCTAGAGATCATTTCTGTGAGTTTTATCATCAACATTTGTGTTGCTTCACCTGTGTATTTTCAGGCACAAAGAACGTTATTTTAAAAATCACTGGGTATCTTCTTCTTTTTTTTTTATTTAAACACCGTACGTTACATCATTAGTTTTTTTTTCTTTTTTTCTCTTTAAATTTTTTATTGTTATGTTAATCACCATACATTACATCATTAGTTTTTGATGTAGTGTTCCATGATTCATTGTTTGTGCATAATACCCAGTGCTCCACGCAGAACGTGCCCTCTTAAATACCCATCACCAGGCTAACCCGAGACGAATCACTGGGTATCTTCTAACATTACCTGTTTTCTAGGTTTTGATGAACAAGGAACCAAGGTTCCACCCTTCAAATTGTTCAGCTTATGGGCTGCTTCAGATTGAATATAGGATAGTTAGGTTTTTCATTCCCAGTTTTCCCTTGTAGTTCGGTTTAATTACTTTAATTGTTCTATCTCAACTCTTTTGGACCCACATGAAGTTTCTAATATTCGTCTACGGCATATTTTTAGCTTTTGCTACTACCCCAGGAGTCTCTGAAAATTGCCTTCTTATCCCCAAAAAGTAGCTCCTGTTACTATTCTAACATCAAAAAATCTTAATCATCCAGTGATAATTACTGACAATTTTACCCTAGTTGCAAGAGTGGAGTTGGTCTCTTTTATATATAATTTTGTTCTTTGCAGTTTAAATGCCAGATGTACACATAAAATTTATCTGGAGTTTTAGAAAGACTAGAGAGCAATGCAATACTGTTACATTTTAAAAATTAGCACGGGCGACTCTGGCCATTGTATGTTTGGCACGAGAGGTGAGGACACTTGGCTCTTTTAAAAAGAATTCCATTATCATTTTGAATTTTGGAAGGAATGTAAAATGTGAAAAAATCAGGGAGTTATGTCTTAGGACTACTTTCAAAAGTTCATTTGACAAAACTTTATTGTACTTATGTACCAAGTGCTAGGGATTTAGCATGAATTTAGTAATTCTCTTCCTTTCTGAAAAAATAAATCTAAAATCAACTTAGGTAGCAGATACACAGTAAATGTTGTTGTTGTATGAATCCGTGAATGAATGAGTTGGTTAAACTCTGGCAAGTATAGGTTTTCCAAATGATCAAGGGGCTATTGTGCGTCCCCTGGGTGGGGCTGACAGCCTCTATCTATAGCCTTTGTTTGGAAAGCACTGCCTAATGGTTAAGACCACGGGGTCAAAATTGTTGGGCAGCTTTATAAACTTACTGGGCTTCAGTTTTCTCAACTGTGAAGGGGTGTAATAGGATCTTTTCTCTATATTGTCGTGTTACATGAGATAATGTTTATCAAGGGCAGTAGGGATTGCCAGAGGTAAAGGCTCAAGACACAGGAGTGACTCTGGTTACAGTGGTACCCTTTAAGGTAATATTTTTGTTAAAAAACACCTTTGGTGGAGACCTTTGCTCAAGGTTATATTTGTTTGGTGGATACAAAGACCTTTGTTTGGTGGATACAAACAAAATCAGTGTGGCTGTGGGGATGGGGATCCCTAGCTTAAAAATCGAGCTGTAATATTCTTTTTAAGAAAAGGCATCCACGAACTCTGTGCCAAGAACTTCTCAACCCTTCATCATTTCTGATGGCTCAAACTCCTCTTATTTTTTATTTTCCGTAAAAGTATCATTTCCGTTTAAGGTGTCCTCCCTTGTTTTTCCCCCGATGAGCTGTAGAGTTTCTTGGCCCGGGGATGCATGGAACTGGCCACGTGTGCTCAGATGTGGGACCCGCCACTGGCGCCCGTGGCTGGCTCTCGTGCTCACTGTGCCAGCACAGCTGCTACTCCACGGAAAATTGATTTGGGTGAAGTACAAGGCCTGGAACATGGCGCCGGAAGTGAGGCTTTGATGAAGTGAAGAGGGGTGTGTCTAACCAAAAAGAAAAAAAGGAAAGTCAGAAGCATCAAAGTGCAGGAGAGGATTTTCTGGGGGCCTGCTTATCAAGTGGACCAGTCACCGTTCATCTGTGGTTTGAGCTCGGTAGACGACAAAAATGTACTTGATGGTAGAAACTATTTCGAACCTAAATAATTTCATCATGGCCTCATGTTCTGAAGAAACTTGATTTTTTTTTTTTTTGACTCAGCTGAAAGCAGATGATTTTTTGTTTCTTGGATAGATGGAACGTTGTCTACCTTTTATTTTAGCCTCTGATTATCTGCTGCAGACTCTGAAAGGTTGAAAGGGTCCTCCAAGCATCCACTGTTAAAGTCAGTCAAGAATACTGTGGGGGTTTTGGTCTGTATTTACTGATAGCTTAGAGGAATTTTGATCCAAAAACCTTTTAGTGGTAGTTTTATTGTTTTTTTTTCCCTCGGTGATAAATTATCTGTGGAGAACTCTGTGTATTCTATAGAAATGCAATATGGATTATCTGCCTATTGATTTTAAGAGTCATTTTTTAAGTGCTTTCTTAAAATATCTTTTTTTAATCAGGCCAAGATTGTGTAGTACATTAAAGGAATTCTTAAAAAGTTTAAAAAACTTGCTAGATGACCTCAGTATGGTCCTATTTAACATACCCTGGGGAACATGTGCATGAAATACATTATGGTTTGAGGTTTTCCAACCCAAACAAACTTAAAAGAAAATGCAGCTTTTAATAGAAACTATTCAGATTCCTGCAAAAATAGGTATGATCCCACCACCGAGAGCATTTAACAGCATCATTATCTACCATGAGAATCAAAAGAGATTGTGTTACCCTGATTTTTGCATTTTGCTTAAGACTGTGTATTTGGCGATTCTAAGTGTATTCTTCAACTGAACTGCGCAATTAAAGAATATATTGATATGAATGACGAATCTCTGATTAATGTTTTTTTTTTTTTTCCTCTCCTTGATGCCATGACCCATGGGTGGGGAAGAGAGGGCAAAAGGGTGTCGCCAAACTGGTGTTATTTAACTGAGTCTTCACATTTCTACCACACAAGTTGAATCCATCAGGTGTAAGACATCACCCTGAAGCATCACTTCTGAGAACTATTGGGAGGGAAGTATCAGAACTGAAATATCACAGCTGGCCCTGATTTTAGCTGGTGCCAAACACCTGCAGCCTCTAAAAGGATACCAAAACAAAACCCCACCCCGTGGCAGCAAGCCATCCCTTAACAACCCTTCCTTAACTTTGTATCACCATCAAAATTAATTTAACATTTTCTACAGAAACCTTCTTCTTCCTGTCCCAGAAGGCCATTACAACTCCTTTAGCAAATCTTTCGTATGGGATAAATATGTCATAGAAGCAAACAGAGTGAAGTATTGAAATATTTGATAGCTTAAAATTATCTGTTGTTTTCATATCATTATTTGTGGAAGCCTGTGAAGTTGGAGGTTTTATTAATCTCTAGGCTAGCTCATATTCTCCAAGCGATTTGGTTTTTTAGCACATTCTGGCAAACTATCTGAGCATCTGGGAAAAAAAGCTTTCAGTATTCATACAGTAAGTGTCAGAAGCACCCCAAAATACAAAGCTGTTTTTCAAGCCCTTTCTACACTCATGCATTCACGCGCTCCTGCACGCGCGCGCACATTCACAGACATACCCGCGTTTTTGATGCATTTT